GTCTCTGTCTCTGTCACTATCACTGGCTTGGGCTGGCTGTGGTGGGTTGCGGGCGAAGAACTCGGTGATGCTTTGCTGACGGCTGGTGTTGATGTTGTCGTGATACACCTTGATGTAGAGCTCCATAGTCTGCAACAGCTGGGTAGTGAAGACTTCATACCGGTTATCGTCAGGGTCGTCAGAAAGGAGGAGCTTGAGTTTCTCAACACACTCGATGGCACCCCTTACATTACTATGCGATAACTTGCGTTCTTCTTGGGATGACGCACCACCTGCCTCTTCACTGACGTCATCATCATCTAAAATCTCGTCGGCAGTAACATCAGGATCCCTTATCACCTCCAGGATGTCGTCGTTGGTGGTCTCGGAGAAGCCTGCAGCTGTAACACTCTGCACAGCTTCTCTGGCAAGGTCCACTGCTACTGCAACAGTCTGAACCTCACCAGTCACAGATTGACTCTGCCTCCCACCTGGAATACCTTGCAACACATGTCTCCATGCGTGACGAACCGTTGCTACAGACTGCTGACCCCATGCCTCCACCAAGAAGTCCACAGCTTTCTTGACGTTGAAGTTTCTCCAAAAATTTTTCACAAGTACTTCTTGCTCTGCCAACTGTTGTTCCTCGTCCTCTTCGCTCTTGCTATCGGTGTCACCCAGGTTACGCAACTCATCCTTGGTGTTGGTATAGTCGTTCAGGAGCTTAAATTTCTTTGCAGAGAATGCAGCTTTCACAGTGCAGATTAATTCTTGGTCCATGGGCTGGATTAATGACGTGTTGGGAGGAAGGAAGACCACTTTTACGTTGGGGTGACGATCCAACAGTGGGGGCGAGTGCCCTGGTGCGTTGTCAAGCAGCAACAAAATTTTGAATGGAACATTCTGTTGCTCACAGAATTTCTTCACGTCGGGAACGAAACAGTCATCAAACCAGGAGAGGGACAGAGTAGAGAACATCCACGCCTTACGTGCAGTCAGCCAGTGGACATTTAGCTTGGTCATGTCCATGTTCTTGTAGGCGTGCGGCTTGCGTGCTGTGTGGATCACCGATAACTTGAGCTTACAGGTACCGGAAGCATTGGTGGTAAACAGGACGGTGATGCACTCCTACTGCAACTTCCGGCCCCGACACTTGCTGGCATTCTTCACAACGAAGGACTTGGAAGGTAGCTTTTTCCAAAAAAGACCAGATTCGTCCATGTTAAACACCTGGTCGTCGGTGTATTGTCCTTCCTCCATAATCTCACGTAAAAACGGAGGAAATTCCCTAGCCGCCACACGGTCAGCATTCGCTTCTTCACCACCAATGTTGATATTGGTGATATTGTTCCTCTTCTTAAACCTCTGCAACCACCCAGAGGAAGCATTGAAGGGTTTGGGCTCTGCAATTCCCATCTTACGTAACACTGCAGCATACAGTTCACGTGCGTACTCCTTAACTGAGCTCGTGTCCACCGCCATGTTCCGTCTTGCCTGACGAATCAAGTAGCTCACAAGTAATTTCTCCGTCTTGAGAAGCACCTGGTTGTGGCAATACTTGATCATAGAAGCACCTGTAGACTTAATAATAATAATAAACGGTTTATTAATAGAGTTGCAGCCGGTGGCTGAAAATTTACAGACTTACATTTGATTTAGATATAATGATATAATATGCATTGAATATATTTACAGGGCTGTGCAGTACATAAATCAGGAGTTGTTTATTATTTTAACAATAGATGGGATGGTGCTATTCTTATATCTATCGGTGCGGGCTCTTATGGGCTGAATTTTGTTGTAGTGCCGGACTGCGCGAGGTGGGTGGGGAGCTGCCGGTGGCAGGAGGTGGCGATGACGAGGATGGTGCAGTAGTCCACTGCGAAACCTTTCCAGTGCTTGGTGGTGGAGGTCACTGAGGGATGGCATTTCCAGGGTGGAGAGAGAGTTGGTGTAGCCGGAGTACTCTGCGCCGAGCATGATTCTGCAGGCCCTTTTCTGTACCTTCTCTAGCTGACGTTGTTGGGTGGAGTTGAGAGAAGACGACCAGGCTGGTGACGCATACATTAGTTTGGGGAGAATAAAGGTGTTGTAGATGGTCCTCAGCTCTGGCATGGACCATCTACAACGCCTTTGTGATGTTCATGTGCTCCTTTATCTTGGCTGCATCCTTCTTGATCGTCCGGATCGTAGATTCGTTAACACCATGCTGGCGCACGAGATCAACCTGTCTTGTTCCTTTCTCCAACTCTTGGATGATCTTGTATTTAATTTCATAGCTTAGGGAACGTCGTATCTTCTTTGGCTTAGGGCGGCTGGGTCCAGGTAATGCAAGGTTTCTTTGTGTTGGTGGTGGTGGTCCGGTGGAAGCCATTCTTAGGGAACAATAGATATTGATAGACACGGTGTAGCTAGGAGGGGTGTAACTGACACGGGTAGGTCAATGGGCTTGAACGCTCCCGCAGCGGGGCACGTCATATTACATTAAACCAATCACAGCTAACGGGGGAGGGAGGTAAGGATGCTTGGCCCAATCACAGTCCGATACGTCATATGACGTCACCGATAACACAACAAAGACATACACTGCGCAACCTACTCGCGCCGCTTACTCAACATGGCGGGAGAGATGGCGGGAGGTTTGAATCCAAAAATGGCGCGGCGCGAGATGACCGCCAGCCGCTCTCCGCGTAAAAGAGTACACGCACCGCGTAAAGTGAGCATTCCGGTTCTGGCAGGGTACCGCGTAAAGTGGAACCGCGTAAAGCGGGGTAATACTGTATCATGTAAATCTGACAATGAGGAAGAAGCAATGATTTATCTGTACAGTATAAAGGAGTGGATTAGTATGAGCTGTAATGGGAGTGAAAAGTGTCCCATATGGGGGTGTTTTTTGTTTTTTTACGGGGATTAGCCCACCCGGGCACTGGTCACCGACATACATCGGGGACTGGGGGGCGAAAATGTAATAATAATAATAATAATAATAATAATAATAATAATAATAATAATAATAGTAATTCAGAGTAAATAAAAATTATACAGTAATAAAAATACAAAATTAAAAATAAAATAACAAAGATGATGATAGTAATAATAATAAAGAAACAAAGAAATACAAAAATTAAAATAAAAATCAAGAGTGAGAAATAATATACTGTAAGGTATGTACAGTCTGCAGAAAATTAAGGCACAAATTGGGTTGTGTCTTCACTTTAAGCACAAATCGTTTTACCCTCAAGATAGGGATAAATTTTGATCAGAAATATTTAGTCACAATTCTAACGGCATCTGGAACCCTTAGGCGACAGTTGTCATATAGCAACAACCGCTCAGTCTTTGTTTAGGTTGCGTGGGTGGAAGGTTTTTGTACGCATGTGAGCGCCACGTGCCGTGATTTTACGCCTGAGTTAAAGTGCTTTATCGTGTGATTTCTGGGTCTTTAAGATGTCCAGGAGAGTTACTAAGCGTGAGGATGTTGCACAGGTGATTGGTTTATACAAGACTAATCATAAAGTTACTGAAATAGTTGAATTAACCGGTGTGTGCCGCAAAACAGTGTACCGATTCATCTCGGAGTTTGAAGCAAACAGCCTGGAAGAGTTGCCTACCCCTAAACCCAGGTCTGGGCGACCACAGCTTAGGTCTCCTAGAACCAGGAAGGTGATTGCTAGGCAAGTTAATGCTAACCCTAAGCTCACGGCCCGGGAATTAAAGCAAGCTAACCCCGGACTCCTTGGTCACGTCTCCTTAAGGTCGGTGCAGCAGCTTCTTCATGACGATTGCGGTTATCATGCCTAACCGACCACGCCGTAAGCCTCTGCTGACTGCTGCCCAGAAGGAGAAGAGGATCACTTTTGCAAAGAAGTACAGTGTCTGGTCCCTTCAGGAGTGGAGGAACATCCTGTGGAGTGATGAAGCCATGTTTACAGTGAGTGGTTGTGGTCACGATAGGGTGTACTGCTGGCCAGACTCTGACCCGCTCGACCCCAGGTACACCGTCAAGACGGTCAACCATCCTGAATCAGTGATGGTATGGGGTTGTTTCACTTATTACGGTGTTGGTGAGTTGGTTGTGCTTGAAAAAAACATAAAAGTTAACCAGGGTGTGTACCTCGAGCTTCTCTGTGACGTTCTGCCTGAGTCGTTTGAGAAAACACGCGCCGACGTGTTCATGCAGGATGGTGCTCCCTGCCACACAGCCAAGTTGGTTACTTATTGGTTGGAGGATTGCCAGGTTTCATATTTTAAGGACTGGCCTGGCAATTCCCCCGACATCAACCCTATTGAGAACCTTTGGGGGCTCATGAAACGTCGCCTACGTGACCTCGACAGCTCGTCCGTCCCCAAGCTCACCACAGCAATTAAGCAACTGTGGGCCAATTTCACCCCACAGCACCTGCAAAACCTTGCAGAAATTGTTCCACAACGACTGAGAGAGGTGCTGGGAAACACAACAAAATACTAAGAGGGGTGGGTGAGTGTTATTTTCATTTTTTTATTGCCTTACCATGATTTTTTATTTTTTTTCCATGGTGTGCCTTAACTTTCCGCGTAGACTGTATGTTGTGTTGTCAAAGTAAGAGAAACAATTGAGACCTGACAATTGTGTAAATGAGGCAGAAAGTCAGATCAGCAACCTGGGACCTGGCCACAGTTTTCATGATGCCTTATGGCAGCAGGGTCTACCATTAGACAACACATTATGCTTCCAATATCTTCCCAGGCGGTAGTACCTCCCTGTTTGGTAGCTGCCTACTACATAATGGTAGTGTCACAATAGGTAAGTGTAACAATGGTAGTCTCATAATGCAAGCAATAAACAACACATATGAGATACGGAGTAAGATTCATGGATGAAATACAGTAGTTTCCATGAGGCCTGATGAGCTGTTTGGGGCAGTGTAGATACATTAACCTTTATGCTGTACATGGATCAATGACCAGGAATAAAAGACATAGCCTTCCCCTAATAACTCCTTAGTTCCTCATGACCAGCTCCACCACATGTTTAACTTTACCTTATGATTGTTCTCTTCGTGCACAATATTAGCACCCGGCACCCGTATGATGGAGTTATATCCCTCATCTAGGCTGCGGGATGTCTGCACTGCACGTCCCTGCAACACAGAGTACAATACAATACAATATATGAAAATAATAGAAACCTAATACAATTTATTTAAAAATTAATTCTTGCACCAATCCATGATATTCATTAATGAAAAGTAGGACAGTTTTAGGAAAGGGGAAGAATGAATGTGAAGCAAACTGAGTGTGTGAACTGTGGAGGAGTGAGGCAGAGAACAGTGTAAGGATCTGTGATGCAAGGCATTAAGAACACCAGGTTGGATCTGTGGAAGAGATGTTCATTAAATAAAAAAAAATGAAATATAAAGACATTTTCAAAATTTAAATACAATAACTATTTTAAAATACATTCTGTGTTTGTATGTTCATAATTTATTTCCATAGTTTTGAGGATAGACAATTTTTATTAGAGAGGTGCAAGTGGCCCGATAACTCATCTAGTTTTGGTGCAAAACAATAATGATCGATGGTAATCCCAAACAAGACGGAATTAAGTTAGAGGAGCGAGGGTGGAGACCAAACTACACGAGCCCCTCCTGTGAACACAACCTTGTTGGTAAAAAGTGAAAGTGGTTCCTATAGACCCGATGACCAGTTAGAGGCAGTGTAAATACAAGGTACTAACAATAAACTCCTCAGTACCATACAGAAAGAGGCAGTGTGGCCAGTACACCACTCAATAACCTCTACTTCACTAACTGTAAAGTTAGGTACACTTTCACAGCTGGATGGACTGAGGGTGCTGAATGCAACCAGTGACCCTTAGGGCAGGAGGCAAGTGCCAGACTCACTCAGTCACAGCAGCTTTTATGTAGAAATAAAAGGTAACTGCTGAAAAAGCTTGTTTTGAGTTTACTACACAGTACTGTTATGTAGTTCATGTTCTTAACACTTAATGTAACTAAAGGTTTAGTTTGGAAAACTATACAAAGTTTGTGTAAATAATACTGTAGGTAAAACTGGGATGCACATAGTTCACAGTTGTGTAAATATCAAGAATACTTGGTAAATAACTCAGATATTTTCTTGAGAAGATGATTAGAAATAGAAAAGTTGTACTGTACCTCATTCCAGAAGAGAAGACCACTGCCAACCAACAGCAGTGTGACTCCCACCACAACTGCCGGTATAGACTCACGCATCTGCTCCCTCACTGGTCGCCTCACATAGTGCATGGTGTGGCCCCCAGTGCCACGGCTCCCAGGAGCATCAGGGTGCTGCAATAGTGAACTTCATTACGAGAAAAATAAAATAAAATTAAGATAATCAAGCAAGAGCAATTTCACTTAAGGTTTCCTCTTCATACTGTGCTGCTCAAGATGACAGCTCCAAAGGCAGCTTCCAGTCATCATTAGTTCATTGGTAATCAACACACTGGTGATGTAGTGTAAGCTAAGGTTCACAACTTGAACAGCAACTTATGGCTGTTGTTGGACCAGACACTGTAACAATCCCTGATAATATTCTTGAACCATGCCATACTATGTACCCCACAGCGGTTACAGTCCAACTCGGCCTACATCCAACTTGAACCATCTCGGACCACTTAGGTTAACGAACTCTGCCTAAAAAAGTACATTTTTGCATGAATGATAAAAGTACAATGATAAAAAGCAGCATAGATTATAAGGTGGGGGGGGGGTGATTTGTTATTATTTATCTTTTCATTCTGTCTTATTAATATATTAATGTACTTATGCGGAAGAGGTGATCTTTTTTCTTTTATATAAAATTTTCTATTTAGTTCACAATTATGATCACTTTACCTGGAGACCTGACAACAACACCCTCACAAAATATGACGGTTGAGTATGACCTGATCACGAGATCTGAGGCTGACGAGTTCCACAACAATTTAAATACAGTGACCCCTCCGTTAATGAATTCAATCCGTTCCAGAAGGTCGTTCGTTAACCGAAAAGTTCGTTAACCGAAACCATTGTTTCAATGGGTTTTTGGGTAATTGGTTCCAGCTCACCGAAAATTTCCTAAATTCAACAAAAATGGTAGAAAAGTTCACTTACTTTGAGGTGTGTATGTAGAAGGCTCCTGGATGATGATGATGATGATGGAATTTAGAATGGGGGTGGAGGAGAAGGAAGAAGAGAAGGCATTGGGGTGGAAGAGAAGTCACCCCATGGCGCCATTTCACCCATAAAATTTTAGCTCTCTTGGTGTAATTCAAGATTATTTTCTTCAAATCAACACTGCACTACATTATATACTGTCAATATGTAAAATATATTTCAAAATGACCAATAATTTGCTTGGAAACACAGAAAAAAAGCGTTTAGTTGAAGAGAGTCTCAAGCAAGATGTTACCTCCAGTGAAAACAGAGAGAGACTAACTCCTGTTTGCTGTGTTAAGAGGCTGGATGCCGCGCATTAAACTAGTCACTTTACCTTCAATTATGTTCAATAATTGTTAAAATGACAAAAAAATTTAATATTAAACTTTTAAAATTATTGAATAGTATAAACTTCTTGATATTTACTAAAATAGTAAGGAATTTAAGCCCTAAAACCGATTAATGTATTGGCGGACTGATACTAAAGCTGGTTGCCCGGTCAGTGCAAGCGAAAACATGTTGGGGTCGGTTCGTAAGAACTTCGTTAACCGAATTTTTTTTCGTTAACCGAATTGAAGATCCTTATGGAAGGCAGTTCGTTAATCGAAATTACGTTAACCGAGGTGTTCGTTAAACGAGGGGTCACTGTAATGAGTTAGTTAATGCACAAAGGCAGAATATACCATACAGAAACTCAGATCAAACAACAATGACCCTAAATGGATAAATAATTATTTAAAGAATATTATTGGACAAAGGAAGGCTATAGGTAGGAGAATAAATCGTGGTGAAGTTTACCTCCGAGATTATTATAAGGAATTGACCAGTTGGGTTAAGACCGAGATAAGTAAAGCAAAGAGGAATAATGAACTGAAGGTCGCAAGGGAGGCGAAGTAAAACCCCATGGGATTCTTTCAAATGTATTAAACTAAAACACGAGAAAAGATTGGACCAGTACCAGCGAGCTAACTGATAGTGACGGAGAAATGAGCAATAATCTGAACAGGTATTTTTCAACAGTTTTCACCACAGAAAACTTAAACATGATACCCGAGGCACCGACTACATGCAGAGATAGTGAAGAAAATAGATTAAGCGAGATATTAGTGACCAGTAACGACGATAGTTAGCAAATAGACAAACCAAAGCCTAATAAGTCACCAGGTCCCGATGAGATATTTACCAGAGAATTAAAGGAATGTAAGGAAGAGCTTAGTATGCCCTTAGCACATTTCTTTAACAAGTCATTAAAAACAGGTGTAGTACCAGAATCCACGAGGATAGTGAATGTGATACCGATTTTCAAGAAGGGAGATAGATCACTATCCTCTAACTACCGTACAATCAGTTTAAAATCAATTGTAGGCAAATTGATGGAAGCAATAATTTCAAACCCTATTCGAAATCACCTGGAGAAGCGCAAGTTATAAATGTGAATCACGGTTCATTGATCAAGTTCTACTAACATAAACTCATAATTCGTCCTTCATACAAAGTGAACCCTCAGTATTCACTCATTCAAACTCTTCGTATTTCAGTGAACCAAAAGAAACATAAAACAAATCTCAAACCTATTCCTGAACCTCTAGTCAGCTACTTGTTTGAAGTGTGCAAGGTGGTGGGCCGAGTTAGTAATGTGTGGGCCAAGTTGGTTATTTAAGATGGGCCGAGTTGGAGGTGCACCCTCCACAGCCAATCACAGTCCGGATGACAACAGCCTTCTGTCTTCATACAGGGCTGACTGGGTTTATGCTGAGAATAATAGGTTAATATATAGGACTAACCCGCCAGGGTTGCATAGTGCCGATGCGGCCGTTTCATTTCAAGTCCAGATAATGCCTCAAATTTCACCATATCATAGCCAGTTGTTTCTGTTTAATATATACCGGGGAAGTTGGGTAAGGTTAGGTAAGTTTGTGTGGTTAGGTCTGTTCATCATACCCACAAATGTTAAGTAGTATTTATTTTAAAAACATCCATTTTTAACATATTTCCACAAACTACAACAATGTCCACTATAACAATGAAAATCCAGCGTTTTTATAATTGTTTTCAATCAATTTCGCTCGTGGGTTAGTCCTATATAATTACCGAATAATATAAATACAGAGAATAAAGCTTTGATAAATAAGGAAATTATTGACTAGTGAACGAGGCCTTAAACTCTATATAATGGAAGTAATAACATTGGACAGTAAGTCGGCCTTTATAACATATATTACACCTCTTATTGTTTCCCCGGCCGGTAATATATCAACATATCCAGGTCAAATTCATAAACTTAACACATGTTTACACATAAGGGAGGAAACTTACACGTGCCCTGTACATAATGGAAGAACTGGGAGTAAGTCTTGGGTTAGGTGTGATGGAGGAAGACCTGAGGAGTAACACAGCTGTCTCCACTCAATGTCAACAACTTTATTTCCGCTTCACACATTAGTTATTTTCATTATAAATGCGCAGAAACTTATAATATTTTACTTTAATTCTTTAAAATATTTAGTATTTTCAATTATTTTATTTATATAAAATAAATATATAAGTACTTTAACTTTGTTTAAAATTTTTAACAGGTTATTTTTTACGTAGTCCTGTTGTAAATATGTTTCCTCAAAACATACCATTATATCTCTATACTAATTACTTATTTACTCATTATGATTATGTAAGTAATTCAAATTTAGTAAGGGGATTATCATCAAATGAACTATGTTATATTTTTTTCTATAATAAGTGAACTAATAATATCTATAGCTGATGAGTGTTGTCTTGATAAATGTCCATCGGTGCAATATTAGTTTAATGTGTCACAAAACACCTACAATACGTATGTCTGCACTTATAATATAATAATTCTAAAAAAATTAGCACACTTACATAATTTATTATAATTCATCTATGTTCTTACAATATTCGTGTCTTATGAGAAGAGTGAGGTGCTCTCCTGTCTGGACTCTGGAGTACTGTAACCCCGCCTCGTCCCCGAGATATGCTAGGGACTGTCAGCTGATTGAAAATGTCCAGTTTATCCAGAGAGATTAGAGCGCCTGTAAATGCCTAGTTTATAATAGAGACGAGCAAGGGGGAGACCTTATTGAGGTGTATAAACATGTCAAAGGGCACTACTCGGTCGAGTGTCCATACCTGGAGCTGACGGATTGTGGGGTATCATCATGGATTGTTTGGTTCACACTCAGGATGGGATGGAGAAAGGAAACTCACAATGTGCTCTCTATATACATGTTGTATTGGATGTACAATGCAGCTTGGTGCTGGGAAGGCAGCATGGTTACAAGCGTGATGTAGAGAGAGCTGGTTGGTGAGGACGCTCAGAGAAGGACAGCTTGTGGGTCGCCATGCTCGCCAGGCAGGCGGAGGAGGAGGTGTTGCTGGCTGGTTGGTGTGGGTAGAAAGAGGGCAGGTCACTACGAGGTCAGGTCTTAAATAGCAGGGGGTAGACGTGGCTTAGTAGTTGATCCCCGCTCTGTGATGTATGGCGGCGCTGGTTGACCCAGACCACGAGGCATACACTGGGGAATTGGTGGGGTCGGCTACTCAGCGACAAACAGCGTTTGTAGGGGAGAAATCCACTACAGGATGCTCGCCCCACAAGGGGTCAAAGCTCAACGTTGAAGAAGCCGGTGGAAAAGTTGTTTGGACATACTTCCTAGCCCTCATTAGTCCCTGTTCACCTAGCAGTAATGTAGGTACCTGTTTTAAATCGAAAGTTGCGAATTCGTATTCAGGGAAAGTTTGTTGGAGCTTCCAATAACTTGATGACATAAACCATTGACTTTTCAGGCTTCTACGCACATTGACTCTTCAGGCTTCTAGGCCCTTAACTCATGAGACATAAAGGCAAGCATGAACTTAGCATGCTTCCCTGTTGGGCGCTGTAAACGCTTCTGCGCTTCACCTTACACAAGGATGTAGGGGAGTGCCCATTAAAAAAAATAAATAAAAAAATACAAAAAAATAGGGAGGTACTACCGTATGAGAAGATATTGGAAACATAATGTGTTGTCTAATGGTAGATCCTGCTGCCATAGCATCACAAAATTTTTATCAATTCCCAGGTTGCTGATCTACCTTTCTGCCTCATTTACACACAATTGCAGGGTCTCAACTGTCTCTCTTACTATTGACAATACAACAAATATAACCATACTCATTCTTGATCTGTTTTATTCATTCTATTTTATTCTCCTATGTCAGTTGATATTAATACTGAAGCGAGGCCTTCTCGGATGGGTCCCACTGGTCGGGAAGGTTGTGGACCCCATGGCCAAACTCATCATCATCAAGCTATTGGGGCCTCAACTGACGCCACCGCGGTTGCTGGAGGATCGGCTTTTTTCACACTTCATTTTTCCAACATTCGCGGACTGAGATCCAATTTTTCTTCTGTGGAGCGCCATCTATTAACCTCTTCCCCCGATCTCTTACTACTCTCCGAACTTCAACTGACCAAAGCAGCTTCACCCAAACCTTTTCAAGCCTCCAACTACAACCTTTATACCTCCTTCCGTTCTAAGAGAGGTGTTTGCGCTAACTGCAACGTACGTACACCTACCTATAGCTCGATTCACGGATTTTTAATTTTCCCTGTATGATGTCATCTGGCTCAAAATATCTCTTCCAACTGTGACTATTTTTCTTTGTTTCCTATACTCTTCTCCCAACTCTACCAACTATTTAGAACTTTTTGACTATCTCACTTCTTGCCATGAGTCGTTGCTATCCACACACCCCAACACCGAGGTTCTCTTATACTGCCAGACTGGGGTCACTAATTCTAAGGGAAAGTACTTAACTCTAATCTTAATTTATAAGGCTCGCTGCCACCAGACCCCCTCTGGACAGTATGTAGCTCGTTAGGTAGTGGGCAGAGTGGACTAGGCATTGGGTTAGGTTTTTCATTGACCAGATCGATAAGGGGAAAGAAGGGTAAAACCATAACATGTCTTAACTAATTTATTCCTTATAAAACATAATGTCACAAAAAATACAAGTGAGTTGGCCTTCCTCAGAAGAACAACGATGATTTGGGATACCCTTCTTACAATATCACTCAACACGTCGGACTGCTCCACCTGTATGGGATATCGCACCTTAGGTCATCATACATAGTAACACCATCTCACCTCCCTGTAGCACCAGCTCACCACACCTGTTACACTCCACACCTGCAAGTGTGGGACTCCTTGTAATTTTCTAGGTATACATAACAGGCACCTCGTTCGTACACCGCCCTCGGTGGGTAGAGACGAGGGCTACACCAAGAGACATACCAGTACTATTTCTACGCCTGGTATTATAGGTCGCTCCAAGTGACGACGCTCACAGGGATAATGGCCGCCGCCCTGCAAGGCACTCTGACCGCAAGGGACCTGATGGGCGGTTATCACACACCCTAACACATCACTATTACACTTATACATCAGGCAAACCTTTAAACTGTAATTTCTGCTATATAAGCCTTTTCTTTTTTACAGAGCGGGATGTAGCCCGATAGGACACTGACCTGAGGTGACCGTAGAACGGAGGGTACTGAGGGCAGTGCCCCGCCTCTCGTCACCGCGTAGGCCTACAGTTTCCAATCATTAATTTTTACTTTTATTTCTCAAGGTTCTCCCATGAACACTTTCCTGTATATTGTAACTCATGCCTTATAAACACATATTTTAATCCTAAATTACACACTAACGTAAGGTTCTGGTTTGCTAGTTCGTGGGTAAATTCATTGGGTTATAATATCAACGCGGCGCACTCGAGGCGGGTCCCCAGGACGCTCCCTTAAAACAAAAGCCGAATGTTCATGGCGTGGGTATATCCACTTCACTTAAAACTGTAATTAGGGATCCTCCTCTCACACATTGCACTATTTGAACACACACATAAGATTCTCTGATCACTGTACATGTCGTGGGTATACGTCACGTGAGGATACGAGGTGTATTAAGTTCACACCGATACATACAAGATATTTCCTTTCAAGTACAGTTTCTGGGTCACTTCCAACACCTCACATAATTCTGACACATTTATCCCTTTTCCAGATCATTGTTCTCATGTATTTTCATATGATATCTGTGGAAGTTATGTTCGCTACACGTTCACAGACGTAAATAGTATGACCTTCAAACCCTGCTCCACACTTAGTCCTACAGTACACTAGTCCGGCTCAACTGGACTTTCCCAATCATCTTATGGATACCCTGAGTTCTCCTTAATGCTATGAATACATACAATTAGCATTATATAACTGTACCTGCGTACAATACAACACATGATTCAGTAACATTGAGTAGGTGGGTTATCCTTTATCAATGTTTCCCGTTCTCTGAGAATCTACTAGCGCGGTGGATTTGAATGTTATGTAGAAAATATGAATTAAAATGGGGTTTTTAGGAATGACAATGATGTGCGCAGTACACTCTACCGAGGGGACTTCAATGTACAGTCTCGTTCAAGATTCTTCGATCACTGCTGGAGACAGCTGGCAACTCAAGTCCGTTTGTTTACTCTAGTACGTAGTATAATAATATAATATGAAACAACAAAGCCCAACCATTAACTAAGCAACTGGAAACTAAGTAATCAATCACCGATAACCTTTTACATTCATTCATATTTTTTACTACGTACTAAAGTAAACAAACGGCCCTGAGTTGCCAGCTGTCTCCAGCAGTGTTCGAAGAATCTTGAACGAGACTGTACATGACAGAGAGTGGCTTGGCTCTAGCCCTGGTGGAGCTGAGGCACTCTTTTTCCCTACTTAATGATTTGGAACAAATAATCAAACACCCTACACGCTTTCCTGAACGACACGATCAACCTGCTAACATTCTTGATCTTTGTTTTACCTCTAACCCCTCACACTATTCATACTCTTTTTTACTTTTTTTACTTTTATCCTCTTCGCCACTGATCGGCTTGTTAGCCGCTTGGGCGATCGGTCACGTCTCTTTTCCTTTATATTCTTCACCAAAAGGTCGGCTCGCTAGCCGCCCGGGCGATCGGTCACGTCTCTGTCACGCACTGTTGGCAAATACTGGGCATGCACCGGCTCCTGAATGTACCTGAACCCGCTCCAGTGTTGGTCAAGTCTTCTCTTGAAAGAGCTCACACTCGGTGCCGTCACAACACTCTCTGGTAGATTGTTCCAAGAGTTTACAACCCTCACTCCGAAAAAGTTTGCCCTCACGGTTTTCCGGACTTGCGGCTTCTTCAATCTTGAGCTGTGACCCCTTGTGGGGCGAGCGTCCGCCAGCTCCAAGTAAGGACACTCAACTGAGTAGTGCCCCCTGAGATGCTTATAAACCTCAACTAGGTCCCCCCTTGCCCGTCTGTAGTATAAAGGCTCAGGCGCAAGTTCAGGCGCTCCAATCTCTCAGG